TGATTGACTTGACCCATTCGTTAGCTTAGCACTATGATCGTTTAGTTTATTGCTATTGCTTTATCCATAACTTATATTCCTATGACTATGAGATTATGCAACTCCCGAATATCGGAGGAACACTTAGTGTGCTATCAAATGTCACAACGTAACTGGGTGACTATAAAGATGCTCTACAGGTGTCTCCGGTGGTGTTTGTTGAGTTGGCATAGATCGATATTAGGATTTGTCACTCCGTGTATCAGAGAGGTATCTCTGGGCCCTCTCGGTAATGCACATCACTATAAGCCTTGCAAGCAATGTGACTAATGAGTTAGTTACGGGATGTTGCATTATAGAACGAGTAAAGAGACTTGCCAGTAACGAGATTGAACTAGGTATTGAGATACCGACGATCGAATCTCGGGCAAGTAACATACCGATGACAAAGGGAACAACGTATATTGGTATGCAGTTTGACCGATAGAGATCTTCATAGAATATGTAGGAACCAATATGAGCATCCAGGTTCCGCTACTGGTTATTGACCGAAGATGAGTCTCGGTCATGTCTACATAGTTCTCGAACCCGTAGGGTCCGCACGCTTAACGTTCGGTGACGATCGGTATTATGAGTTTATGTGTTTTGATGTACCAAAGGTAGTTCGGAGTCCCGGATATGATCGCAGACATGACGAGGAGTCTCAAAATGGTCGAGACATAAATATCGATATATTAGAAGGCTATGTTTGGACATCGGAATGGTTCCGGGTGAGTTCGGCCATTTACCGGAGTACCGGGGAGTTACCGAAACCCCCGAGTAAGTGTATGGGCCTTATTGGGGCTTAGTGAGAGAGAGAGGAGGAGGCGGCCAAGGTGGAGGGCGCCCCCCCCCCCCAAGCCCAATCCGAATTGGGTGGGGCGGCCCCCCCTTTTCCTTCCCTCTCTCTCCCCCTTCCTTCCTCTCCTACTCCAACTAGGGAAGGGGGAATCCTACTCCCACCGGAAGTAGGACTCCCCCCTTGGGCGCGCCATGAGAGGGCCGGCCCTCCCCCTCCTCCACTCCTTTATATAGGGGGGAGGGGCACCCCATAGACACATAAGTTGATTGTTTAGCCGTGTGCAGTGCCCCCTCCACAGATTTCCACCTCGGTCATATCATTGTAGAGCTTAGGCGAAGCCCTGCGTCGGTAACTTCATCATCACCGTCGTGCTGACGAAACTCTCCCTCGACCTCGGTTGGATCTAGAGTTCGTGGGACGTCACTGAGCTGAACGTGTGCAGATCGCGGAGGTGTCGTACCTTCGGTGCTAGGATCGGTCGGATCGTGAAGACGTACAACTACATCAACTGCGTTGTCATAACGTTTCCGCTTTCGGTCTACGAGGGTACGTGGACAACACTCTCCCCTCTCGTTGATATGCATCACCTAGATGGATCTTGCGTGTGCATATGTTTTTTTTAATTATTGCGTTCCCCAACAAGCGCCGCCTGGTAGGCAGCCTCCTCCGCCTGCTCCTCCGTCTTGGCGACTGGGGGGGTAGGGGGTTGACGTGGTGGTGCGGTACGCCGAGCGCCGTTGCTCCTGGTGTTTGAGGGCAAACCAGACCTCCCAATGGGGAGAGTCTGCTGCGTACTCGGGCATCCGCCGCTGCTCCGGCGTGAGCTGCGTCCGGCGCCTGCACACCTTCTCGTCGTGCGCCTGCTGTGACCACAGCACCGCCGGCACCGATATCCGTTGTGGATCGAGCTATCAGTCATGCGATAACGTCACGTAGGGGTACGACAACAGTTGCCTGAACTCCGAGTTCCACCGTGCTTGATGCACCGGAACGTGCATCCGCTGCCTTGTCGGGAGGGGGGAGGCACGTCGGTGGCGGCGGAGGAGGAAGCGTCGGGGGTGAACTTTCCCTTGCTCTTGCCGGAGCTGCTGAATAAACACATGGCTAGGGCTTGCTTGTTGCCAACGAGGAAGCACGCAGGGGCAGCTAGATGTGGACGACAGTGGAAGTGGATGAGTCCCCCCCCCCACGCTTGAATAAACCCATGGCTAGGGTTTCATTGGTTGACGCGTAGGCCCGGTGTTGTTGGCCGCTATTAATTAATATTATCACGTTTGGTCGTTGGTTGCCCGCCATGTGGGATTGTGCCGGACACCAAGGGAACACGCTGCGTGTCCATTTCATGTCCGCGACGACGCATTTCAAACCCAAATTTGAGCTTTAAATAGGTCAGCGCGGACATAAAACGGACACGTTTTGAATTTGAGTCCATGTTTGGGCCGGCGTTTTCGTTTGCGGTGACCCAAATGAACTTGGACGGACGAAATGGGTCGCTTGGTTGGAGTTGCTTTTAGTGAAGTAGAAGTTCACAGCCCTACTATTTCTGAACCCATCAAATTTGCGCAGAATCTCGGTTGTCCGCCCTCTCGCTCACGCTTCAAACGGTTCAAGACCGGAACTGATACATGCACACATACAGTTCCGGTGAACCAAAATTCGTCCAAGCGATGGGTCCTTTCTGAGAGGCGCCTGGGGTGAACCAGGTCTAGGCAGAAGCCAGCGGGTACGACGCCGCCTCGGCCAACGGTAGGCGTGGACTGTGGTTGACGAGCAGTAGGTCTGGGTCACGGCCCTTCTCCCCAACAGCAACAGGCGAATCTCTCTGGGTTTCAGTGCGCCTGCGCGCGAGACAAGGCATCTCTGATTTTCCTACCGGATTTGCCTGCCGACACTCCAGGCCGCAGCGCCTGACCAAATCCACCGCTCACTGCCTAGAGCATCTCCAATTCTTATTTTCTTTCCATTTTCTTTTAGCATCTCCCCTCTCCACCCTTCACTCCAGCCTCCAGTCTCCAGTGGAGCAACCACCTGCTCTTTTCGGACCTTCCATAAATAAAATCCCAACTACTTTTCTCTCCCCAACGAAAAAAAAAATACTATACCGAATCCTACTGCGATTTTTAGCCTATCCATTCACCAACGTACGCCTTCAGAAAACAAAGACCAAAAGAAAACAAAGATCTCATTCCGGCGATGAGAAAAAGCCGGCTCCTTGGCGCCGGTTCCAGCGGATTCCTTTTTCGAAAGGAAATAGTAGTACTATAGCAAGTAGCAACGCACATGACCCTGATCTGACCGGCCGGCGTGAGGACACGAGTCGTCTTTGGCAAGCGTCCGTCCGCCCAAGGGATCCCCACCGACAGCTCGCCCAGATCTCGATTTCTTTATCTCATCGCCTCGCCTCGCCCCCAGCAAATTATTTTGTTACGTGTACTACGTATACTACAAGCTGCTGGTAGTACATTACTATAAAATAATATTTTCTTTGCTGCTGCTGCTGCTGCTTAGTCCCCGTCCTGCCACTGCCAAGAGGAGCCTGAGTAATCAGCCCAGCTTGTGAAGAGAGTGACCCCTCACCAGTTAAGGTGTGCAGTGCGGTGCACACATCAAGGCGTTCATTCAATTGCGTCTTACTTCCACAACCATTGCTCTTCCCAATTTCTGTATGTACTTGTGCGATTTCCATGCCAGAAACTAACAACAACAAAACGACTACAATACTATACTTGCGGTGTACCATCCTTGTACGTGAAGAGGCAGTAATGCACGGCGGCAATGGCAAGAGATGCACGCACCAGCAATTAGTGGCTTGTCAGTACTACTGATGCATATTGAAGTAGCCGCAGCTAGCCTGGCAGCACTGGGTTTTGTTTTTGTTTAGAGCAAGCTAGCTAGCCATGTCAGGCGTCGCCGTACTGTTTGTCGCAAAAATTTAATTTATATATATCAGGCTATCGTGGCACCAACAACATTCCCAACCCCTACTGCTTTGTCGGCCTCACTAGCTAGCTCCTAATCAAATCCTGTTTGATAATATTGCTGGTGTGGTTAGATTTGGGTGGATGGCTAGCGTAGCTAGCCAGGAATCATCATCCCATTATAATACATGCTACAAGGATCTTGCAGGTGACGCGCAGTGGATAGAGTTTTTAAAGCACGGTCGGTAGTATACTTCGGAGAAAAAATAGAGAAAAACGGCGTACATTCAGAGCAACGGGCATCTACTATATGCTAGACGTACGTGGTCGTACCTTTCCCCGTCCCCGCCACATGCGGCATGGCCGTCTTCTTCCCCTCCACTTCAAGTATCCAACCAACCCTCTCCCCCACGTAGCTACTACTCCCAAACTATTATCCATTCCACAGAGGCAGGCACGCAGAATGGAAAAAAAGGGAGAAACTCAAAGAAAGACGCATGCCCAAACACAGGCAGGAGCACCCGAATCGCATGGCTTTGCTTCAAGCTTGGAGCAACGGCAACCGCTCACTTCTGCAAAGCTAGCCAAGCAAAGCAACGGAGGAGGAGGAGGCAAAAGTTAGCTAGCCTGGCTAGGAGAACTGTCGCCCTCTTTGCATTATTGGCACCTGCGCAGTAAAATCTCTCTCGCTACGTACGTGGACGCAGTTCGAGAAGCCATCCATCTAGAGACGACCGTGCCTGGTGCGCCCCAGATGGCTGGCGATCCCAGATCTACTGCACCAAAAGTTAATGCTCGCCGGCCGGCCGGACAGTAACAAAATGAGGAGGCGCACGAGCCCAGCTGCAGCCGAGCCCCACGGGGTGCAGGGTACAGGGTACAGAGGCGAGTGAAGTGGAGTGGCCACCACACACGGCCTCCACTGTAAGCGGCGCACCTAGAACCAGAGCCGGAGCCAACCCATCCGATAGCGGCAACGAGACCAAACCGAAAAGACGGGCCAAGGGGGCGACGAAAGCTACGCCCCAACCACCACCCCGACCCCTCCCTCCGTTTCACTTCATCATAACATAGCGCCGTGCCATCGCTCACCACCGCCCCGGACGGACATCATTCATTCATTCGCAGTACCACCACCACCTTCGTCTCCCCCCTCTCCACCCACACTCCCTCCAATTGAGAAACAGCCCCGTCGTCCTCCTCCGGCCATTGCCGTCGCGAACTAGACAGCAAGGAGGCGGCCGGCGAAAGGCGGCGGCAGGATGTTTGGGCGGGACCCGTGGGGCGGGACGCTGGAGATCTCGAACGCGGACTCGGCGACGGACGACGACCGGAGCCGGGACCTGGACCGGGGCGCCATGATGCGGCACCAGCTGGACGAGACGCAGCAGAGCTGGCTGCTGGCCGGCCCGGGCGACCAGGCCGGGAAGAAGAAGAAGAAGTACGTGGACATCGGCTGCATGGTCATCGACCGCAAGATCTTCATGTGGACCATCGGCCTCATCCTCGGCGTCGGCCTCTTCGTCGGCTTCGTCATGATGATCGTCAAGCTCGTCCCGCACAAGAAGCCGCCGCCGCCGCCCCCCGACCAGTACACCCTCGCGCTCCACAAGGCGCTCATGTTCTTCAACGCCCAGCGATGTGAGTTTTCCCAGCTGCTTCTTCTTCTTCTTCCTTTTTTCACCTGCATCTTTTTTACTACCTTTGCTTCGATTTCCACCTCTTGTTCGTCCCTTTCCTCTCCCTGCACTGCACCGGCCCGAGACCAGATCCGCTTTTGCGTGGTGCCAACGGGGGGGCATGCAAACAATTCTAGTTATTGTAGCTCTTTGTCCTCCTATCGCCTCCTCGCCACCTCATCATGTCCTCCTACATTTAGCATGTCTGGGATGGTGAGATCTGGCTGAGTTACTACGTATGCCCATATTTTACCGGAAGAAACTTCACCTTGGGAAAAGTAACTATTGTCTCCATACGTATCTGAAAAAGTATAGGCAAAAGGAACTATCTATTCATACGAGAGCAAAAATGGAGCGCACCTTCTGAGTTCTGACGTTATGTCGTGGTCTGAAATTGTCAGCTGGTCATCTGCCCAAGCACAACGGCGTGAGCTGGAGGGGCAACTCCGGCATGAAGGACGGCCTCTCGGACAGCACCGTCAAGAAGAGCTTGGTCGGAGGCTTCTACGACGCAGGCGACGCCATCAAGTTCAATTACCCCATGGCCTGGTCCATGACCATGCTCAGCTGGACGGTCATCGAGTACAGGGCCAAGTACGAGGCCATCGGCGAGCTCGACCATGTCAAGGAGATCATCAAGTGGGGCACCGACTACATGCTCAAGACCTTCAACTCGTCCGCCGACACCATCGACCGGATCGTCGCCCAGGTTCGTAGAGGCTGATCATCTCGGTTGCGCCGATTTGCTTTGTCGTGTGTCCGGGAAATTGGGCACCAGATCTGCTCAATTGAGTAAAGTTTCAGCTCACTGATGTCATATGAACTTCTTGTTGCAGGTCGGCGTGGGTGACACCTCCAAAGGCCCCATGCCGAACGACCACTACTGCTGGATGAGACCAGAGGACATTGATTACAAGAGGCCTGTCATCGAGTGCCACTCTTGCTCGGATCTTGCCGCTGAAATGGCTGCCGCCCTTGCCGCAGCTTCCATAGTGTTCAAGGACAGCAAGACGTACTCTGACAAGCTCGTCCACGGTGCCAAGGCGCTGTACAAGTTCGGTAGGCTGCAGCGCGGCCGATACAGCCCCAATGGCTCTGATCAGTCGCTGTTCTACAATTCCACCAGCTACTGGGATGAGTTTGTGTGGGGCGGTGCGTGGATGTACTTCGCCACGGGGAACACATCATACCTCACCATCGCCACAGCTCCAGGGATGGCGAAGCACGCGGGAGCGTTCTGGATTGGTAGCCCAAACTATGGAGTGTTTACCTGGGATGACAAGCTTCCAGGATCTCAGGTTAGCATACTTCATACCTATGTTCAGTTAACTGGATGTGTTAGAAATACTTAGCATTTAGCACCAAAGGAATAACAAACAAGCAATATGACAGCATCTAAATGAGAAGAGAAAGAACATTAATGCTTTAAAAGGAATCAGAATATTAGTAGAAAATGATGATCAATGTTAATGAAGAATGATCCGACATTAAACACTTTCTACATTATGCAGGTTCTTCTCAGCAGGTTGCGGCTCTTCCTAAGTCCAGGGTATCCTTATGAAGAAATATTAAGGACATTCCACAACCAAACTGACAATGTCATGTGCTCCTATTTACCAGTATTCAATTCATTCAACTTCACTAAAGGTTGGTAATGCCCTTCTTTGTTTTCCACTGCCTCTCTAAATCCACTTCCACACTGGAAAGATAAGTAACCGAATGTTTTGCAGGAGGATTGATACAACTCAACCATGGAGGGCCTCAACCACTTCAGTACGTCGTCAATGCAGCATTCCTTGCCTCTTTGTATGCTGATTACCTGGACACTGCAGATACACCAGGGTGGTATTGTGGACCTAATTTCTATACCACAGATGTCCTCCGCAAGTTTGCAAAGTCACAGGTAGAGTTTTGTACTCAATACTCCTGGACTAAAATAATGTATAATGTACGTTAGCAGGCATCAGTCAATTGACACTCAAAACCCTTCAATTTGCAGCTTGATTATATTCTAGGCAAGAACCCACAAAAGATGAGCTACGTCGTTGGTTTTGGAAAGAAGTACCCCAAGCGCGTTCATCACAGAGGGGCATCAATCCCTCATAACGGTGTCAAGTACGGATGCAAAGGAGGTTTTAAATGGAGGGAGTCTAAGAAAGCAAACCCTAATATCCTCGTCGGAGCAATGGTTGCTGGCCCTGACAAGCATGATGGCTTCAAAGATATCCGCACAAATTACAATTACACAGAGCCTACTCTTGCAGCAAATGCTGGCCTGGTTGCAGCATTGATTTCTCTAGCTGACATCGATACTGGAAGATACTCAATTGATAAGAACACCATCTTCTCAGCAGTTCCCCCAATGTTCCCGACACCCCCACCACCGCCATCAGCTTGGAAACCGTGAAGAGTCAGATCCCTGAACATTTCATAAGCATCAAATGGAGGGAGCAACAGATGGTTGTTTGGTATATACAGCGAAGGCCACGAACAGAAAGCAGACAACATAAGCTTACAGAGTTTCTACTTCTGTATCGGTATGACGGATCAGTATAAATCATCTGTCAGCCTTGAACTGGAAGTTGTGTGCAATTTGTGAAACTAAATTTTGGGTCCTTGTTGTTATCCATATTCCGAGTTCGTGTGTGAAGTTCTTTTTGTAGAAATGCTACCTTAGTAAGTCATTTTGTTTTATAGGAGTGACTTATTCGTCACAGTAAAGAATGTGTGACCTTTATACAGCTTGTTTTGACTTGTTTGACATGCATTATACACTTCATGCGTGTGTTCACCAAATTACATTATATAGCAACGGAGAATGCAGTGACTTCTAATATAGATGCAATCCCAATGATGCCATTGCCAAAAATTACAAAGCATTAATGTAATTATGAACAGAAAACACACAATTTCACAAACAATTTACTGGCAATTCTGGTAAACTGAACATGTGTAGGCCTGGGTGAGAAAAACAAATTCCTTGTGATGAATGTATATAAAAGAAAATGCGAAATACAAATTTATGATGGTCATGCTGCAAACTACATGATCCCAGAAATGTACAGTAACAAAGGTTTTACCACTTGTAAACAACAACAGGCCAGGCTTGTTGGCTGTTGCACAGCAATTATTCCCGCATCAATTATGATAGTGAGGAGAATCTCACACAACATTTACCTTCTGCACAAATCCACTTCATCTTTGCCTCAGAACAATCCTGTGAGTTCTCATTGGTGGTGTTTTGGGCTTCAATCTCATTTTCATCAAGTGATTTTCCCCTGGGATCATCATCTACTCTCAAAGGCAATGCTCTTTCAACAAAGCTTTCTACCCAGGGCACTCCCGATCACAGTCTTCAACAGCTTACACATGCATTAGCATGCCCCTTGGAATTCTCAATCAAGAAGCTTCTGTGTGCAGGATGAACCTCTCCTATGTTAAGTTTGCACAACCTCAATGTTGATCCTGATTATCTTGTCACTGGCCGCATTATGGGTTTCATACGCAGTACATGCTGAAACCTTTCCTTGATGCCATCCTCAATGGAGTGACACAGCTCTGCTGGCAAGGCCTCCTCATCGGCCTTTTCAGTTGCATCCTTCACAAGCTTGTAGGTGTGTTCCCTTGGCAGGTGCCCGCTTTCCGCCATCTCGATCATGAACCGCCTTGCATCCCCGATCCGCCCACTCTCGTATAGCGAATGTATAAGAGGTGTGTACGTGCTTGATGTCGCCATCCCATGCCCCCTCGCCACCATTTCCCTCATCCACTCAACGGCCTTGTCAACCTTATTCACCGCACTGTAATACCTCACAAACGAGTTATATGTCACCCGGTTTGGCAAGCACCCCTTCTTCACCATTTCATCGAACACCTCGTGCGCACGCTCCACGCGGTACGTCTTGCAGAGGCCATTGATATAGCAGTTGTAGGTCACGACGTCCGGCTCCAGCCCCTTCTCCCCCATCCTCCGGAACAGCCTCCCGGCCTCGTAGATCCTTCTCCTGGCGGCCTTCCGGCACCCGGTCCCCGCCCCGATCCGGCAGTACCAGGAAATGAGCACGGTGTAGGTGTAGGAGTCAGGCCTGCAGCGCGCGCCGGGGCGCTCCATCTGGTCGAGCAGGAACCTGGCCTCCTTGAACCGGCCGTTCCGGCACAGCGCGGCGAGCAGCGTGTTGTGGCACTGCGCGTCCGGGGAGCACCGGAGCTGGCGCGCGCGGTGGAAGGCGGCGAGGGCCTGCCGCGGGAGGCCCTCCTCGCCGAGCGCGCGGATGACGTCGGTGAGCGCGGCGGTGGAGACGAGCGGGGCGTGCTCGCGGAGGAGGCCGAAGAGCGCGGGGAGCGCGCGGGCGCGGGCGAGGGAGAGCGCGGCGGCGCGGAGCGGGGCCTCGGTGAGCGGGACGGCGCGCGGGTTGGCAGCGTCGGAGTGGGACCAGTTGAGGAAGGCGAGGGTGAGCGCGGCGGCGACCCGGCGGTGGTAGGAGGAGGACGGGGCGGGGAAGGGCCGCTGCGGGCAGAGGCGGCCCGCGGAGCGCGGGAGGATGAGGCGCGGGATGGCGGCGAGCGAGGCGGCGATGGAGGACGGGGAGAAGCCGCGGAAGGTGGGGGACGGGCGGAGCGCGGCGTCGAAGCGGCGGCGCTGGAGGAGGGCCACCAGGAGCTGCGGCACCAGGCGGGACGGCGACGGGGACGGGGCAGTGGAGGAGGACATTTGGTTGCGGTTTTGGAGCCTGGGCTTTGGACTACGGCAGAGGGGTTGGTTTAACCGGGAGAGGCCTCCCCGCTGCAATTTGCAACTGGGCCTGGAAAATAGTTCTTCGGAAATGATAAAAATCTGACTTCGGATTTTTCGAGCACGGCAAATCAAACGTTTTTTATGACAAATTATATTGTCCTGAGGATGTCATGCTTGCTAGTAATAAAAATTGTCATCCTTACAACAACACATTTATTATGCTTGCTAAGAAAATTGTCATCCACGACAATGTAATTTGTCTACCCGCAAAAAAAAGACAACGTAATTTGTTGTTTCGGATGTTCGGTTTGTCATGCTCAAAAAGTTGATGTTCTTTGAGCTCCGCCTTCTCTTTTGTTGTTCGGAAATGGACTTTGAGTCTTTGCAAACACAATATTTTTTTTTTGGATTTTTCTATGTTGCAACATGCATTTGTTGTTCACAATAGCTATATGTAAGTTGGGAGAAGGAACGGTTGGAGAAGGATAGAGTTGGAGGAAGAAGAAAGATGAACAGACGTTGGATCTTAATCTAATGGCCTAGAAAATCGATTTACTTAAAATAATTTATCAGACCACTTACCTATAGTCACTCCCTTTGTTGGTAGTTGAAAGTTGACCCCTCAAAAATTGTTGCTGGGACTTGGAACTTGATTGTTGGCGCGGGTAACAGAAGTTAAAGTCTTGATTTTGCGTGGCTAAAGGTTTATTGACGTTAGCAATTTTGAAGTGACTAGCCTACATACAAGACTAGTTTAAGATAATGTTTTGAATCGATTAGTACTCACTATGTTACAATTTACATTGCGGAGTTGTTTTTAAGACTTTTTTATATAACATTGTGTGTTATAAGATTGAGGCACTTGGAGTCAACGTATTCAAGAGCATTCATAACCAATGGGTCGAATAACAAGAAGCTGAGTATTTGACATAAAAACATCATAATCAACTTTGCAGAAAACCACATATCTATCGTATTTATTTTTTTATTTGCAAGAATCATTTTCTTACAGTAATAGAACTTTATTGACCACAAGATCAAGAGATCATTTACAAGGCAAGATGAAATAAATGGATGATAGTGTCCCAAAAGGAGAAAGATATAGAGTTAAATGCAGATTTAGTTAGGCAATTCGCCACTTCATTAGCTTCTCTATAACAATGTTGATAATCAACATGGCCACACTCACTTGCTAGTTGATTTGCATTCTGTGATCGCAACAACATTAGGATCGAAGTAATCTTCCTCTTTTCGCAATGTTTCAACGGCAAAACAAGCAACCAGACTCAAGAAGCACCTAGTTGCAGTCAATATTCGCAGCCAAATAGATACCATTTTGATTAGCAATTATTTCAGCAGAATCCACACTAGTCACATGGGGTATGAACCAGGTCGCCGCCGCAAGGAAATTACCATGATCATTCCTCTTGATTGCAAGGGTTGTGACGTCCCGATTCAATGGTACACTAATTATACACGCAAACGTGTACGATCAAGATCAGGGACTCACGGGAAGATATCACAACACAACTCTACAAATAAAATAAGTCATACAAGCATCATATTACAAGCCAGGGGCCTCGAGGGCTCAAATACAAGAGCTCGATCATAGACGAGTCAGCGGAAGCAACAATATCTGAGTACAGACATAAGTTAAACAAGTGTGCCTTAAGAAGGCTAGCACAAACTGGGATACAGATCGAAAGAGGCGCAGGCCTCCTGCCTGGGATCCTCCTAAACTACTCCTGGTCGCCGTCCGCGGGCTGCACGTAGTAATAGGCACCTCCGGTGTAGTAGGAGTCGTCGTCAACGGTGGCGTCTGGCTCCTGGACTCCAGCATCTGGTTGCGACAACCAGAAAGAAAGGAAAGGGGAAAAAGGGGGAAGAAAGCAACCGTGAGTACTCATCCAAAATACTCGCAAGCAAGGAGCTACACTACATATGCATGGATATATGTGTAAAGGGTCATATCATTGGACTGAACTGCAGAATGCCAGAATAAGAGGGGGATAACTAATCCTATCGAAGACTACGCTTCTGGCAGCCTCCGTCTTGCAGCATGTAGAAGAGAGTAGAATGAAGTCCTCCAAGTAGCATCGCATAGCATAAACCTACCCGACAATCCTCTCCTCATTGCCCTGTTAGAGAGCGATTACCGGGTTATATCTGGCACTTGGAAGGGTGTGTTTTATTAAGTATCTGGTTCTAGTTGTCATAAGGTCAAGGTACAACTCCAAGTCGTCCTGTTACCGAAGATCACGGCTATTCGAATAGATTAACTTCCCTGCAGGGGTGCACCACATAACCCAACACGCTCGATCCCATTTGGCCGGACACATTTTTCTGGGTCATGCCCGGCCTCGGAAGATCAACACGTCGCAGCCCTACCTAGGCACAACAGAGAGGTCAGCACGCCGGTCTAAATCATATGGCGCAGGGGTTTGGGCCCATCGCCCATTGCACACCTGCACGTTGCGAACGCGGCCGGTGAGCAGACCTAGCAACCTCCATTACAAAGGAAGTTGCGTTACGCGGTCCAACCCGGCGCGCGCCGCTCAGTCGCTGACGTCACGAAGGCTTCGGCTGATACCACGATGTCGAGTGCCCATAATTGTCCCCGCGTAGATGGTTAGTGCGTATAGGCCAGTAGTCAGACTCAGATCAAATACCAA